GTAATTCTTGGAAGTTGGAAGGAAGTTTTTCAACAGAATGTTTTGTGGTTGGAAAATTGCTGAGTCATTAAAAGTGACAAATTTTGTGCAAAGGGGACTCTATTTTGACAGTTTGATATGAAATCCTGTAGAAGTAGGGCCAGAAGGGACCTCCACAGGTCATCCAGCCCTCTACCTGAACTTTGGTGTTATTAGCACCACGCTCTAACCAACTGAGCTAATCAACTGCATTATAAGGAAACAAGAATCTGTTTTGGTATGGTCAAAAGACCTAGTTTTGCCATTTTTCAGAATGAAACACTTTGGTTTTCTATGAGACACTTTTCCCATTTCAGAATGTATTTAAAAGTTGAAGTGTTCTAAACAGAACTGTTGATTGACCCTGTCTTCCTCCCCCGTACCAGCATTATGGTGTAATGGGATCTGATGCTCAATCCCACAATTGCACCTCTTGGAGCGGGAGGGGGAGGTGATTTTGTTTTTGGGAAATTTTGAGACTTGGTTTTATTCTACTTTGGAAAGGAGGTGTGGGTTTGGGGGGAGCCCTAAAGTAGCAGATTGGAAATCCATTTCCCATCTACCTGTAGTCATTCCCATCTGGTATAGTTATATTACCTAGGTAGAACATAAGTAATGCTAGGAGCAATGAATTTCCCTGGCTTCCCACGACTCCAAATAAACTGTCCCTCACTAGCTTCTTTAGTGGCTCCTTAGGGTTTTGTGTCAAAAGATAGACTGTAAGTCTGTAACCGTGTCTGCACGTTATGGAATTTGCAGTTTTCTTTGAGGTTATGCCTGTATATAGGATACCTACAGATTTTTTTAGTAGAAAATGTAATGATTGGGCCCAGATTAATTGCAGATCCCTCTCTGTAAGATCAGATTCCTTTCTTCTTTTCTAGTGATTTGTTTTAGCAGTAAATTAAGGAATAATGCTAATAATTCTGATTAGGCTGGTTATTGGTTTTATGAAATAGTATGAAACTCTTTCTGAGTCCCTTGCTTATTCATATCCATTTCTACATATAAATATATATTTGTCACTATACTCCATCTGCACTGGTCTTCTGCCCTTCCCCTGTGTCAGGCTCTGTTGCTTCTTGAGCTTCTACTAGTACAAACTCGGAAGGTAGAAGATGAACAACTTTTTGAGCAGGGATTGCTAGCTGTTACAGGAACTCAGTCTTGGCTGCAGCTTGCTGTTTCCAGGCTGACGAGACTGAGTGCCTGAGACTGCGAGGGAGTGCTGTCAGGGAGAGAATCAGATATTCCTATGTAGTATAAGACTACATGCAACTGTCACTGGGTTTTGTGTTGACTCAGTACAGAAGCATGTGAATTTAAGGTACTTTCCAAATATCCACTTTGATTTATATCGCTTAATATTGTATTAGTTATCTGCATTTTCAGGATTAAGCAAAGTAGGTTTGACGTCTAAATAAATACTAAGTAGTGGTTAAAAGTGGAATAAGTATATCTCACTGAAAACTTGCAAAATAACTGTTTTATTGGATTACACAGCAACATACCCAAGAGAGTGGGTTAAATACAGTTCTATGATGCAATTATGTCCAGCTCTGCAATGACTGACTTGGCAGGGAGGCTTTGGGGCTTTCCAATGTATGTTTTTGAAGAGAGCTAAGTAGATAATCATAGTTTTTTAGGTTGGCTTCAAAGAGGAAAATTCCCCTTGCTTTCACATCACAAAATTAAAAAAAATAAATCCAAGATGAAGTCTTAATCTCAATCATGTTATAGCTACAATCCCCCTATACGTTTCTCCTTCTACAATCTGCTTTTATGTTATGTATATAACATACAGTTTATGCAAAGAGCCTGTGAGAATACGGCTCATTCCAGCTGTTCCAAAGTAGACAAAATATTCTATTATTTTTAAAATTGTCCTCCCAAACCAAAAAAGCTTGGTATGGTGTTCTTTCACCACTTTCTGTATGTGTGAAGGAAGAGAATGGTGCAAAGTTGGTAATGGAAACAATTGTGCTGACCAAACTGTCCACTGCCTGTACTCCTGTGTACTTTTTGCAACGTACTTTTGTTGTAGTCCGCTTTCCACAGTTTGCTACATTTTTATCATGTCCTTTATATAAAATTGCAAAATGCTTTGGGATTATTGAGATGAAGAGGTTAATTATAATCATCTGAACTACTGGTTTTAATAAAGACCAAGGTATGTGCATGTGTGTTTGGAGAGGCTGCTGACAGACATTAAAAAGAAGGTCCAATGGGACCTGATGCACAATCCCAACAGTCATGCCTTGTGTATGGCAGGAGGTGTGATTGTGGGATTGAGCATCAGATCCCATCACACCATAATGCTGGCACAGGGGGAGCCTGGGATCATGATCATCTGATGGAACTTTTGGCTGCAGGGGACACCATATGCTCCTGCAACTGGGAGCTCCAGTCATTGCTGGGGCTCCCAGCTGTGGGTCTGCAGGGTGTCCCCCTGTGGCTGGGAACTCTAAACACTGACAGAGCTCCTAGTCATAGCCCCCAGACTGGGAGACCCAGCAATGATCAGAGGTCCTAGTCGTGGTGGGGTACCCTGTGCTCCCATGGCTGGGTGCTCCCCCAGCTGGGGCACCCAGTGAGCGGACCAGTGTTCCCAGCTTCCGGAGAACACGGGTGTGTGCTCTGGAGGCTAGGAGTACTAGCCGCACATCAACTAAAGGCATGATAGGAACCAGTGACACAGTTATCACACTCATTTTGTGTAATAACTTTGTTGCTTATTCATGGTTTTATCATGCTAATAGTTGAATGAATGCATGGCCAAGTTATTACTCAAGATGTGATTAACTGTGTAATCATGTCTTAAATGTAATGTGTCAGGGACCAGACGGAAAGAGAGATTTGGATTTTTCAGTGCCAGCTTGTTGCTTCTGAATCCTAAAGCAAACAATTATGCTTGTACAATAGCTCCTTGTTCCACATAAACTTACCACTTCTTCTGGACACTAGGCAAGGGAGCCTGGAAAATACAAGTAACATAATCTGCCAATGCCTTTTTAATTTTCCTGCTGCCAACATTTTCTGTTAGTCATAGAAGCAATAAGACCAGAAACTGACTGCCGCCTAGTGCTGCACGTATGTATGTGCATGAGGGTTAGCGTTAGGGAGGGAGAGAGAAATGGAGACAAAAGAGAGACTTGCAGTAATTTAGCATGCTGTCTGTTACTAAAAAAAAATAAATAATAAAAAAAAATTCTTAGTCTGAGTTTAAAAGGATGTGTTTCTTTCCTTTTTGACGGTTCAAAACCTCGATGCCATAGAAATAAAAACCCAGTCTTAAACTTCATTCTTTCTTTGGTTATTAGATTGGTTTGCTTTAGTTGGTTATGAGCTCATGAATAATATGCCTGTGGACGTAGGCTCCAGCCCCACAGACAGTGAAGGTGACCTCTAAACTTGGTGTTCAGTTTTTTTTGCTGCTGACAAAGGGACCCTTTTTATCAATAAGCTGTTGTGTTCACCTTGTAGTTGTCAACCGAAATGGTGATTAGTCGCAGGTAATGATTAGGGACCTACCACTGTAATGGTGAGACAAAGGGTTTTTCGCGGCCTGCTTGTGGTGCATAGGGTCAATTTCACAGGCATTTCGCAGGCGCCCTTGCCTCTTGATGCTGGTTGGCAGAGAGGCCCTGGGGGGAGGAGGGATTAGGGGGCAGCTGTCACCTCTATGCTGCCCTTCATGCTTCCCCACCAGCTGGCACCTTCCTCTCCCAGCAATGAGGACTGCTACCTCTCACTGGGGAGCCAGCATTTGATTTTTATAAAGTTTTCTTTTTGTTGATTTTTTTTTTTTTTTTTTTTGTGGATTTCATGGAAAATCCCAGATTTCACAGTTTCTATGAAATCCACAAAACTGCAAATTAAGTAGGTCCCTAGTGATGATGAAAATAACCTAAGTGTAGCAAAACTAATAGTAAATTCCATTTTGTTAGCCACAATCAAAGCCACAGCCTTATTGTTGACATTCTTGTGCGTTCTTAATGTGGGATTAAAACCTTTATTGTTATGACTCAGTACAAAGTAAAATAGGATGGAGCTTAGCCAGAACCCCCACTTGGTACTTCTTCAGCCTCTTTCGGAGAGATTGGCACTTTAGAGACTAACTAGGTCAGAGAGGCATAAGCTTTTGTAGAAGACTGCCTACTTTGTCAGATACTATGAATTGGTTTGTAGAAATCAGGGAATATTTGTGAGGGCAAAGATCATTCATACTTTATTCTTTACTTTTCACTAGTATTATTATTCTGTTGTCTGTAGTCTAGCTGTGTAATTTATCTTCTGAAGCTTTAGAGCAGCTTTCAGAGGCTATGCCCCATTATAGCCTCTGCAGTGTTACTTTTGTGGAAGATGGAGATCCAGTTCTATCTGAAATAGGAATGATTTGCAGCAAATAGCCTTGGTTAAAGTCCAGAAGGCTTCTTGGTGTTTGTTTTCTGAATTATTAATTGCTAAATTGGCAATACACAGAGAATTGCAGACAATACATGAAACACTAGATGCAGAAGTATAGCATTGACTGGTTCTAGACATGAAATGTGGCAAAATGTGATATGCTTGTTTCAGTTGAATAATTTGCAGGCTATTTTAACCTTGCTATTTGCAAAGTACAGAGGTACTTGATATTACAAGATAATGACAATATGAAGAGAAAGGAAGATTTGTTTTAAAATATTTGGTATCCAGGGCAAATCTATACCATAGAAGAGGAAACTAAGAAAATAAAACATTTTCTATTTAAATTTTAACCTTGCTAGTCAAATTGAAAACTGTATCTCTCAAACTTGATCTTCTGTGAGTATCATCCCTTTTAGCAGAAATGTCCATAGTAGTGGGTCATTGCAAAATGCTTAGGTTCACAAGATTTTCCTGTATGTGATTTACTGAGTGGAAGTAGAATTTAGAAACCAGACACAAAGGGAAGTTTGATCCTGATTCATGCATTTAGAGGCTCTTAAAATCTCTTTTAGGACTCATTGTTGGGGTGATCCTGAGGTATGGCACTCCTTCCACCAGCGGTCATGATAAACCATTCAGCTGCTCACAAGAGAATAGACCATTTACAACGCTCTTGGTCAATGTCAGTGGAAAATTCTTTGAGTATACCCTGAAAGGTGAAATAAGCCCTGGAAAAATCCACAACGTAGAACAAAATGACATGCTGCGAAAGGTGAGGTTTTTGTGAATAGTTATTGATCAATGTGGACTTCACCTGTTTCACACAGCTCTTTTTACCAAGGCTTCTGGCACCCCTGTCAAAGCTGAGGGTTTAGCATGGTTTTTATTATCGTATTTCTGAACGTAACAGAAGTATATCATTTATTCCCATTCGGAAGTACTTTCAGCCTTGCAATGCCATTGGTAAAACTATGGTTATATGGTTGTGTCCTGATTTTTTTTTTTTTTTTTTTTTCCCCCCCCCGCCCCCACAGATTCTTTCACTGAGGTTGGCATATGCTCCATATCACCAAGACAGCGTATCAATAACTGGCTAACATTTAGGGAGCCTGTTAAGGCTTTGACAGTACCTAAGGTCCAGCTCAGTTCTATAATGCAAGGGGTTTTAAGCACCTAACACTTAAGATATTTTTAAAATCCTTTTTCTACCTTTATTAATATTTTTTTTGTTTCCTGAATGAGTCCCTCACTCCTCCCTCCCCATCAAAAGTAAAATATCTGACACTAGGAATCTTATACAAGCTTTCAACCCTAAATTAAATGCAAAAGTTTTCTAGTAGCACTGATCAGTGATCACTGAATTTTCACACACATTTTCACACACATTTTAATGACTTTTTTTCTTCCCAGTACAATCTGACCTGATTCTTTTTCTTTAAAGCATTTCCCGTAAAGTTCTTTGGGATTATGGATGATCAGAATCTGACAGCTGTGTTCTCTGTGTGCTGGGTGACTTATGCATAGATCAACTGTGTTCTATGTGTAGGCTGTATTTAAAAAAATACCATTGCAACTACTAATAAAAAGAATTTAGAAATTGGCATAAGCATCATATTTTACCAACACAGGGGATCTTACCTAGCACTATTTGAACTAGAGTGAAGGAAGTGATTTCCAAGGTGGGCGGTTTAAAGACTGTTGAAGAACCTAGAATTTGTTATACTCCCATGTCAAAAATTTCCAAACATTGGTCACCATGGAAATCTTCATGAGATTTGCTTTTATACACTTATACTGTTACCTCCTGTTGTAAGGAAACTGTCTAGAAAATTATTAATGTCAACTATTTCTGAAAGCAACATTTTAAGGGTTTTATGATAGCAATATATGATAGGAAGTTGGCATATTCTTCATTCTTTTTAATGGACTTTTACATTTTCTTTTTAGGTAACATTTGACCCAGAAGTTTTTTTCAACATTCTTTTGCCTCCTATTATTTTCCATGCTGGTTACAGCTTAAAGAAGGTAAGCTTACCTTCTAAAAAAAAGTCATTTTTTTCACTTAAAAGTCACTGATGTCTAAGTGCACAAGCTCCATTAGTGATCCCTGCAAGAGAGCCTTTAATAGTACCTCCTTTAAGACCGCAAAGTTTTGTACCCTGCGTCTAGACTGTTAGATAGTATTATTATTTACTACCAGATACCATATTTTCTCACATACAAGGCACACCTTTTTCCGAAAAAACAGCTGCTAGAAATTAGACTGTACTACTTATATGAAAGCAGTACAATAAGAACAGTTTCTGGCACTTGCTGGACAAAAGCAAAAGTAAAGTCTGCAGATGATCCACAGGAGCAGACCAACTATTAGGCTTAGCTCCCTAGCTGCTGCTACTCAGTTACTACAAGGAAAAATCTTTTTTTTTCTTCATTCTCCCTTTCCAAAACAGCATGTGTGTCTTATTCCAGGATGTGATGTAAATGAGAAAGTACAGTACATATAATGTTGTATTAATCGCATGTCATCTTGCAGTGGTGTTTCCCTCTGAACATTACTGTTGACTAAGCTAAATAAATGTAAATAATATCTGTAAAGGGATTGTTCTGTGTTCATTTGCATATGTTACAGGAAATTACTTGGAGGGGGTCAAAACCAGCCTCTGCTGTGGACACTCCTAAACTTTGGAGAGTAGAAATCCTGGACTGTACTTTATGACTTGGAGTTATCCCGTCCATTTACTTTCTTGTTAAACTCATAGCTGTCTATTATGTTAATCACCAGGGGCAGTGTTTTGTTTTGTTTTGGCGGGGGGGGGGTTCGAGTTATAGCCACCCCAAAATTCACCTTGGCTCCCCCCCTGTACCCACCTCTGTCAGCATTGCCTTCCCCCCACACCAAGCCACCCTGCTCCCACTTGTAGCGCAGACCCCCCTATTTTCTGTCTAGCCCATCTTGGGCCCCCCCACTGGAAGAGGCTGGTGCCACCTCCTGTTAGTTACCTATGCAGTATGCTAGAGGTCTTTCACTCAGCCAGGTTCGCATAAGCTTTAAAACAACTTCAGATGTGGCCTGCATTCAACAACTTTACATATCATAAAATCTATATTGTAATATTCAAACTAATTTCCTGCCACTGCACAAGATAGTTTCCATGTACTGAAATGCTGTGCTGCACACTTCATTGGTAAATGAGATTTTATCTGCCTTCCACATTTCATAGCTTTAATGTGCTATTTTTTTCTTTACACAGAGACACTTCTTCAGGAATCTGGGGTCTATTTTGGCTTATGCATTTTTAGGAACTGCAGTCTCTTGTTTCATTATTGGGTAAGTGAGTTTTAAGAGGCAATTTAACTTGTATGCACTTATTCAAATTGATTAAATAAGTGCTTTAGCTCCCCAAAGTTCTGAATTCTACCAATTAGAAGGTTAATTAGGACTTTATTTGTATATCACACAGAAAAATGTCAGCCCTAAAATGATTCGGGGAAACGTCTTAGGAAAGTGCCTAGTACCAGACCATAGGAGCAGGATGATAACCTAATTTGTTTTTGTTTGGATCTGTATTTCCAGTTCTAGACTCCTTCAGAACTCAGTTCATTTGGTTTAAATAGTCACCAGACAAGACTTTGCTAAATATTTTTATAGGAAATGGCCTTGGTAAGAATCTTGACTATCAGCTTTTAGAAAAGTTCTTTTTGTACCTTAAAAAGTAAAAGGCTTGATTTAAAGTAGTTTTGGATTGTGCATATTTACCCTGTTAACATTGCCACACATTTTTGGCAGGATGAGTGCTATAAGAGCGTATTTGTAAGTATGCAGCTTTTACATTGCATAGCTGACCCCCTTGTTTTGTTAGCTTAAGGCAACTTCATTGTAAAGGATGGAAAAAAAATACTTTAACAGCTGTTAGACTTCAAAATTCTTTCCTAAATGCTATATTGTTTATTAGAAGAAACTCAAGTAGGAGAAATTCTGGGATAAAATGCCTGGAAAGAGAAACTGTCCATTGGACTACACCTTTTAATTGCATGGACAGATTGCATGTCTCACTTTTCATGAGTTTTAGGTGACTTGTTTTGAAACATACTTCACCCTGGACTTCATCGATGAGGGAAAATCTGTTAAGAGCTTTGTGCCAAACACTAGCTATGCAACATGGAGAATGACTGGGGCAAGGCCTACCTAGACTGAGGTCGTAGGATTTAATTTTCTAGATCTCACCAAGTTGTTTGATAAGTACTGCTTTATCTGCTTTCATTACAGAAATCTCATGTATGGTGTTGTGAAACTAATGAAGTTGGTGGGACAACTCTCTGATAAATTTTACTACACAGATTGTCTCCTCTTTGGAGCTATCATATCTGCTACTGATCCAGGTACCCACTATATAATTTGTTACTGAAGTTATTCCATTGCTAATACTTTCAGGATATATAGTGACAAGCCGAACATTACTTCATTTTCAATTATTTTACTACAGAAACTGTGTCTATGTACTATACAAAGTATGTGTGTATATACTGGATGTTATCATAGATGGCATCTGACGGGTTCATACTGAGCTGTGCTGGTAACTGGCATAAGAGGCTAGGCTGCTGTACTGCAGAGAAGGATGTGGTGATACAGTGGTCCATAAACTGATTATAAACCAACAATATAAGTAGTCTTGTTGCAAAGAAAACCAACAACATATTGGGCTGTACTAACAGAAATGTCACTTACAAATCAAAGGAAGTAATTTTTTTCATCTCTATTCACCACCTGGTGAGGCTTTACCTGGAGCCCTCTGTCCAGTTTTGGGGCCCACACTTTGAGAAGGATGTGGACAGATTGGAGAGAGTCTATCACAGAGTGACAGAAATGATTAGTAGCCTAGAAAGCAAGATGTATGAAGAAAGGTGAAAGAACAAGGGTTATTTAACCTGGAGAAGAGAAGACTGAGCGGGGATTTGATTACAGTCTTCAAATACCTGAAGGCTGATTTATAAAGAGGGTAGAAATAGACTTTCCTCTGTGGCCATAGGAAACAGGACTAGGAGCAATAGCCTCAAACTGCAGCAGAGGAAATTTAGGTTGGAGATTAAGAGGAACTTTCTGACTGTGAGGGTGGTCAAGCATTGGAACAAACTACGTAGAGAAGTTATCTCCATCCTTGAAGTTTTCAAGAGCAGGTTGGATAGACTCTTGGCTGGAATGGCTTAATCAGGGCTGCTCCTGCCTTGAGTGGAGGGGCAGGAGGGGTTGCACTAGATGACCTTGTTGAGATCCTTTCCAGCCCTACTTTCCTATGATCCTACAAACAGCACATTTGGGGATAAATGTTTGTGACCTCACAGCAGTTGACACAGATTTTCACTTGAGGGTGGTTGGATTCCATTTCTGTTTTCTTCTATATGGAAACTGAAAATTACTACAGGGTAATCTAGGGTGTGAATTAATACAGGGTAGTTAGCACATTATTAAAAGTTTATGTGCATATTCTGGCCCCATGGTAAAAACCTGGCAGATTACCCCATTTTCACTGAAGGGGAGGCTGCCCTGAATTTGCAGCAGAAAAGAAGAATGCATCTTGGCTATTGCTGTGGAGTAGCTGGTGCATTGTATGTGTGCACCTTTAGCCTACCTTGCAGTAACATGTTTGTGTGCTGTACCACATTGTACATAGCACGTGGATTTGCAGGTTCATTCTCCTCTGCTTCAGACTGAAGTTTCTATTTTGAAGGGTAGTGTTAGAGTGATGTTGTAACTGTGATGATCCAGGAATTGTGTGAGGCAAGAATGTTTTGGGGAAAATATATTTTATTGGACCAACTGCATAGATGGGATAAAGTTAGACAAGCTTCTGAATGAGCTGGTGAGACCGCAGCTGGAGTACTGCTTCTGGGCACAACACTTTAACAAGGATGTGGACAAGCTTGAGAGAGTCCAAAGACGAGCCACCCATATGATTGGAGTCTTAAAAGGCAAGCCATATGAGGAAAGGCTGAGGGATCTGGGACTCTTCAGCCTGAGAAAAAGAGGGCTGAGAGGGGACTTGTTAGCAGCTTACTGCTACAGTAGGGGAGTACATCAAGGGCTCAGTGAGCAACTGCTCACGAGGGCACCCAAGGGGAAAACTAGGAGTAATGGCCACAAACTCCTGGAAGACCGATTCAGGTTCAACATTAGGAAAAACTTCTTCACAGTCAGCATGTCCAGACTGTGGAATAAGCTCCCTTCAGAGGAGGTGCAATTGCCTACCCTGGAAATCTTCAAGAGGAGACTACACAGTCACCTTGCTGGGGTCACCTGACCCTAGTTATCTTTCCTGTTTGATCATCAGGTCCAGCCCCCTGCACCTTCTGAGGTCCCTTCCGGCCTGACATTTATGAATGGAAGGAATTCTTTGTCAGGTCTGAAGAGAAAAGCCAGCGCAGCCATTGTCAAGAGCAGTGGGTAGAGCTATGAAATTGGAGGGGGCAGAAATTCCTAGGGGGTAACAGACAAACAATTAGCAGAAGAAAAGAAGCTTGTTGGAGATCAAAACCTATCAAGAAGGAGGAGGGTCATTGTTATCATTTGTAGTATATAGGAAGAGCATCAGGAGTCAGTAGGTTATAGCATGTCATAAAATCAATATTGCTGTTCAGTCAGTTCAGTTTTAAAGGGGCTACTTTGAATGCTCAGCAACTTAATCCTCTGCTTCAGTTTGTAAATACTTACATGTATAACAGCTGGTCTGTTCCTGCCTGAGTATTTCAGTGATGTTTTTTAAAAAGGACTGAAGTAATAAAGATATAGGAGACAGTGTAGTTACCAGTGCACAGCTTTATGCTAATTCTTTCACTGTGCAAATGTGAATACTGGATTGTACTGTTCAAAGAACACAGCTCTGACAGAGTGAAATCATTTATGTTATAGCCCAATGGTTTTGAGGTCTTCTTAGAGAAACTGTACATTTGCATACTCACATGCATTCGTGGCAGATCCACATATGATCAAGACTTTTCTAAAACTGTTAGAAGCCATCTTCAGCGATCAGTTTGCCTAGGTAGTATGGCTCTTAATTAAACATGATGAAAATCTTCTCCATGCTGGTTTGAAATTGTATCACAGTTCCTGGTTTTTGCCTCTAAAAACAAATTGGTAAATGTCTACTGCTTCCAGCTGACAATCAAAATCACTGGCAAGATAAGCATAGGTGGCAGAAGGCCAGGACTATTGGGGCTTAGCCCCCACAAACTGAGCCAGTAACAGCAGCTCCAGTGTCACTACTGCCACAGTGCCATGCCCAGCACCCCTGCCACATACTTCACCACTGCCACTCTCACAGCACCAGCATGCGCCAGCCCCAGAACGGCCCTGTGGGAACGAGGGACAGAGTCAGGTGGGCATGCTCCACACTGCCCAGCCCCCCAACAAATAATATTTTCTAGTGCCACTTATGGGGATAAGTAAGATTGAAAGTTCTTTTTTCTTATCTCTTTCATAGTTACTGTGCTGGCAATATTTAATGAGTTGCATGCTGATGTCGATCTCTACGCCCTTCTGTTTGGGGAGAGTGTTCTGAATGATGCTGTTGCCATTGTATTGTCTTCGTAAGTAACTGCTTAAACTTCCACCGCATGAAGTCCTTGTATCTTTGTTTCAGTGTTAAGGGTTACTATGGCCATGTTCAGGCGTTACATTTCTACCTGGAGAATCACTGTTCTCCCAGTAGAAATGATGAGCATACAAGTGTTCATTCAATTAATTGCTCCTGGGGGAAAGAAACATGCCCATTCCAGAAGATCTTCTTCCCACCTCACCCTCTCAAAGCAGCATTTAAAACTACTTCACCCACAGCCTCCTGCTGGGGTGTGTGCACCAGCTTTGAAGTGGTTCTGGGGGAAGAAGCTCCCCCTTAAATGCACTTTAAGCCCTGCTACTCCAGTCTCCTTAGACCCAGAAGGAGTCGGACTGTTCCCCACACCTTCCCTAGACTGATGTCTGATCTGTGGAAAAGGGGCAACTGCAGGCTTGAATGGCTGCACTGCTTCTTCTCCCAGAACAATCTATAGCGATGGAAATTTCTCAAAAATGCCCACTGCTAGAAACAATTTTCTGTTGATGGTCTATGACAAATGTAGGCGGGGTCTGAAAAAAATATTCTAATGCATTCTGTTTTGTTAACTGCTTTGAGGAGCATAGCTATCAGACAGAAGAGAATTGGTGTGTAGAATACAAGTAGCAAAATAAAGTATCCCCTTGCTAATGAGATACAGTAAAAGATTTTGATGTCATCAGTAACACCACCATTATTATGCGTCTTTCTTTCTCCCTAGATCTATAGTAGCCTACCAGCCAACAGGTGAAAACACCCATGCTTTTGATGCAGCAGCATTTTTCAAATCGGTTGGGGTTTTCCTTGGAATCTTCAGCGGTTCTTTCACGATGGGAGCAGTGACAGGGGTGGTGACAGCTCTGATATCCTTTCTGGTGTTTTAGCTCTTCCAAAGTGTCAGTGTATGAACATTAAACCTTAATTTCTGGTCCAGCATCCTGGCCCTCACACACTTCAACCGTTCTTAGCCAACATGATGCTGAACATGATTTACCTCACCCTACGCCCTCTGTAAAGTCATGGTCAGCAGTTATGTCACCTTTTAGTTATCTGTACAGTAAATGAAAAGTATCTGTGTAAGTCACTTTTATTTATATCTGTGTGATTATTGCCAGGCTCTGGCTTTACTGGTATATCAGTTAAAACGGATCTCTTCTAGCTAAAGTTATTATACTGGTAACATTTAAAAGCACAAGCCAGGCCTGAATTACATCTTGATTGTTTTCAATGGGTAGCATTGCCATGTAAACCAGCTCTTAAAAAGATGCTATTTTATCATGAAAAGAAGTTTGCTTTTGAGACCATATGGTACAGGTGAGTCATTCTTCTTTCTTCATGCGTTAAGCACCTAGGCATAAAAAGTAGCTCTTTGATGATCTCCTGCTGAGGGACCTACATTTAATCTTTCTGCAGGAAATCTCATGTCCGATATCTTCAAATGAAACTTTTATTTCTGTTAATATTGCTATGATATTATACCCCATTTTGGCTGACCTTCCCCATTACTTTCAAGTTTGATCCTACTGTTTGATCTGAAATGGAGCTCCACACAGGTGCACAGGGTCTTTCTGTGTAGATCCAGTTTCAGGACCAGGCACTAGGTCTTAAGTGTGATGTGAATAAGAGGTCATGATGCTTCATCAAATAAACTACTCAAAACCTTCACCTCTAAATATGCTTACTCAACCACAGCTGGATTTGCTTTGATCTGGTGTACTTCAGAAAACTAACTTAAAAAGAATCGGAAGGCAATATTTTATTAAAAAATCAGGCCCATAACTTTTCATCTTGCAGAGTGTTTTTTTTGCAGTGTATCTTATTACACATTCACATAAGGCCAGGTGTCTGAGACCCCCATAATGATCCTGATAATGAACATGCACAAAGAAGAAAGGATAAAAGGACTTGTGGTACCTTTTTAATATTCTGAATTTTTAGATTTATGAAGCTTAACCAACTAACAAGACTTTAACATAGTTGTTTACAAACTGGCCTGTGGGGCCATCAGTGGTACATAGAACTACTTGTTTCTGTTCAGCTGCAAAATATCATTAATAGACAGGTAAATTACATGAATACTTGCATAGTAGCAATTGCAATAGCTGTTGTTGCTGATGAATGGGACGGAAGCTGGTTAATCTGACAATGGACAGGAAGGTTATTTACAAGACCTTTTTTAAGGAAATGTGAGGACTTGGTATTTAACAAATTTATATAAAAAGATTGTTAATACTATTAATAAAGATTTTAGCCTTCTATAAAAGAAAAATAAAATGTCACTGTTTAAAGTCATGCCCAGGCATTATAAACTTATGCTCCTAACTGTTTTCCCTTTTAGTTTTAAAACATTTAGCTTGAATCCACACTTCTTTGTTATGAAGGGTTCATTAAATACTGGAAGTTTAGTCATGTGTTGTTCATATGCAACACAAATCTTACCTGAATTCACCGAGCATTTCTGGCTGGAAAAGAACTGTTTCGGATGAGTAAGATGACAATGAAGAGATGGTAGTAAAACTTCACTGAAGCAAGAGCCAGAATCGACGCGTCTCACCTTTCAAATAACTGTCTTTGTCATCAGGCTGAAGTCATACTCTTCCTAGCTCAGTGAATTTGGGATATTTCTTTGCATCAAAGATATAAAATTCACCACATCTTTAAAGGTAAATTATTCAGTCTTAAAATTATATATTTGCATAGTGTATAGGTTAGTAGAAGAGTGGCACATTAGAGCATGCCTATCTGATTTTAGGTGTCTTGGTAAAAGACTGCAACTCTTCAGTCATGTAATTGTCAGTTGGACTCATTTTGTATTTTGTCATTTAAGGAGCGCTTTTTTTTTTTTCTCCCCAATTTAACAAGGTAAGATCCAGGGTGAACAAAGGAGCACTCAAAATCAAGACAGCTTCTTAAACAATGTTAGAAAACCCAGTGACCATAATATGTTAGTCTTTAGACCTCCAGTCCAAGCTGTAAAATAGGAGCAATAAGGCTGACCTCAGACAGTTTCCTCAGTAGATCTCAAAATGTAATGTAAGATCTAGTTGTTGTTAGTGGCACTAGTATAGTCCTTTCTATTTGTGTGTGCCTGGTTAAATATGTAATTGTGCTGCATTTCTTAATAATATATACCAGAACATGTGCAAGCTGGCATGTGTATCTGCACAGTTACAGGAAAAACTTAAAAGTATCCTCATGCTTGGTTTTGTGATTCCAGCCTTGTCCTGGTTTTCAGATTGACACATTGTGCACAAGGGGTTTTTGGTAAATACTGAATGTAACTGTACTAGTTTTCAGCCAAAAGAACTAGTTTTTGATCCTTTAACCAAGTGCTTAAGTGACCAAGTTTACCAAACTACACTGCTTTCCTTTGCTGGAGACTGCTCTCTTTTTCCTGATGTCCTGGAGCACTTTCTTGTTAGCTGAAGCTTGTGGATTTACAGGTGAGTTCACAATTCAACCACAGAAAGATCAAGCCTCTGTCCATCTCCACTTTTCACTTTCCCGTTAAGCCTGCTTTTAATTACACTTTTAATGCTACCTCTGAAAAGTGTGGGTTCTTTTATTGTCTAGTAAGGCCTATGTATGTTAGATCTTGATTCAAAAGCAGGGTTAATGTTAATCTTGTACCAGTAACAATACCTGCACTGGCTTCCCAAAGAGTTGGCCTTTCTTTTTTTTTATTTTTTTAGTTAATGCTGCAGATCCCTACCTATAATCCTTTTTTTTCCCTTTGTACCTGCTTAGTCACCTCTGTACCATCTAGCCTGTGACTCCTTCAACTTTAGATAATTTTGTAATAACCTCTTATATCTCCAATGAAAAATAATGGATCTGACATTTTGTATGTCTTCAATTTTGGACTTAAGTCAAAGGCAAATTTCTTTTGATAAGAAATCCTATTTGACTCTCTCAAGAGTTACTGTAACCCCTAGATTTAGGTGTTTTCTGCTTCATGAGAAACATTGTAGTTCTGTCCTGTAGTATATTTTGTTGAAGAATAACTGGGGGAGATTATCTCTAACTTGCTGTATAGAATGAGCAGGTTATGATTTTTATTTAAAAACAAGCAAACAACAAACCTTTTATGTCCTTCATTTTATTCATTTGGATATTAACATGACTGACTGACTGCCAGAAGTTCAGTCAAAAGAAGCTGTTCATAGAGGGGGCAAAAATAACAGGAAGTGAAACAATGGCACAGGAAACATAGCTGGTGTAAACTGCTTCAAAGGAGTTGAAGCTATGGCTCATGATCAGGGATCCTGGTTTTCTCTAATACAAAAAAATCCCCAATTTTTGGATTAAAAAAAGTAACCCCAAATCTACATTTTTTTTCTGTGATTAAAATGAAACACTACTAATAAGGTGTTTCATTTTAATCACGGAAAAATGTGGATTTGGGGTTACCTTTTTCAGTCTAAAAACAGGATTTTTTATCGGAGAAAACTAGAATCCCTACTCATGATAGACAGGGAAATAACTACCTACCTGGCTCCATCTAGGCTTGCCAGATCCTTTTTTCCCAGAGCTGACAGCTTAGGATCAAAGGAGAATTTGAAACCTTAAAAAGGCTGACAGCAATTGCTAGAAAAGAGCCTTTGAAGTGAAGATACAGGGACTGTAGCAGGTATGGTGGCTGTCCCAACCACAGTGCTGGGAATAAACTGGATCTTCTAGAGTAGTTAAGTTTAGTTAAGAAAATATGTACACGGGACTCTCTCGCGTTAATTCATTTTCCTAAATACTGGGTTCTCTTTGGCAATTAATAGCTACTTCATTAGATACTGGTTTTGAGTTGCTTTAATCTGCTATTTTCACAGTTTGCCAAAGTAGAAGAGCTTAGAAATACCAGCGCAGTTGGATATGGTCGTTAAAGAGGGAACTGAAAGCTAGAGAGCTAGCCTAATAGTACCTGGTTTATAGGATTTCGCTTGGAATAAGGGCAGAGCGCCGGGCCTGTTATTTAAGCAGCATTAAAGGACCTGAAAGGATTCTGTGGTGTGTGCTAGCCGTGAGCCATGACTTCTGACATTAAGGCTAGGGAGAGAAATTGCACGTAGACTGGTGTAAGTGATCAGAAAACAGTTCAGGTCTGTAACACAGTTGAAATTCAATGCGCATAAACTGCTTTCCAAATGTCTGAAAGCAGTTTAAGATAAACCTGGATGGATATAGTAGTATCAGACTTAACTGATTTAGGTTAAGTCAGTTTATTGAACTTCTGTCCCAAATCCCCTCCATATTCAAGTTAACTCACAGTCCCCCAGCATCCCAGGATGCTTTGCACCTCCCCTGCAAACCCGTCCCTTTCAGGGTGGGTGGGCTAGCTTTGGCCCAAGTGGGCTGCTCTAGCTGAGCATGGAGGCATGCATTAGCACCCCCTGGCTTCTGGCCTGTGCCATGGCAGGCATGTGGCTGCATTTGCAGAATCAAAAGTGAATGTCTGTTCACTTGCTTATCGGTTCAATCTGCACATCTTAGAATAACCTGTAAAAAGTATATTGATTCAGCCTAGGGCTTTTTGACTGTCTGTACTTAGCCTAAGTGAAATGTTTGGCCAACAATACAACCAAAAATATCTTCACAAGGGGTAAAATCTTAAGAATTAAAGAACAGTGAATTAAACCATGAGCATAGTGAAGGCTGGAAAGGAAAATGGAAATAGAAATCATATTTTTACTTGAATTGAGCTAGTAAGCCCTCTCCTCATCCAGCCTTCTCCATCAACAGGTGTGGTAGCCGTTCTCTTCTGTGGAATTACCCAGGCTCATTATACCTACAACAACCTGTCAGTTGAGTCCAGGAGCCGAACTAAGCAGGTGAGAATGCATCCATTGTCTACAAAGTATGGTAGTGTTGATGTTTTTTCAAGTAACTTTCATACATTGAAGATTTGCACCGTAACTGAAAATATTTCTTTTCTCCCCAGCTCTTTGAGGTACTGCACTTCCTGGCTGAGAACTTCATATTTTCCTACATGGGTTTAGCCCTGTTTACATTCCAGAAACATATATTCAGTCCAATTTTCATCATTGGAGCTTTTGTATCCTTTCTTGCTTCCCATTTGGTGACAAGGCTGTTTTTCATATTTTTTTTCTGTACCTGAAAACATGTCTTTTGCATTTTCATAACCCCTCATGCTGCCTGGAGAGGGCATGGTATTTGCCTTGGGTATTTATTCCTGCAATATGCTACAAATGCAGGAATAGTAACAATCTTCAGCTCCCTTGCAGAGCTAATGACCTTGTGGTATCCGAGCCCTAGGGCTGTGATGTTTGAAGTATTTGCTACATGTCTCTGTATATGTGGTGCTGAATACAAATATGATCTCTGCAATTATAATAATGGATCTTAAAGCATTGGATCTTGGGTTGTTTCTGGTTGGAAAGGGGGCTTCAGAATACTTATATACTCAAACCAACATAAGCAAATCATATTAGTGTCTCACAGCTGTTATTACTTGACTTGCGTTGATTTTAGGAGGCAAGGTTCTGAAAAATCGCATTTTTTGAATACCGAGAAACTTTGTCAGCATCAATGATTTGGTAAATTTGGATGAAATTGACCATGTGATTTTCATGATGCCCTTCTGCTTCCCACAACTTTTGATGCACTGAGAGAAACTGCTTATTTACAAAGGGTCTTCGGCACTTTGTAATTCTCCCTGCCTTTCTTGCCCAGCTATGCAGAAGTCAGTTAAATAAAATTCAAGTGGGCATGTTTTGTATTTTTGGATTCATTCTCTTCTCCTTGGTTACCTAAGGCAGAATGTTCTGCTTCTGAGCAGATTCTCTCCTGAACTAAGCATGGATTTTGCATTGTGCCACTGCATCTTCTGAAGGGAATTGAATAATTAAGCTTCAGGACAGGACTAATGGAAATTGTCCCCTCCCAAATGTGCTTTTGGCTTTCGATTGATTAGTGAGATTCTTCTTTTTTTTTCAGAAAAAAGACTCCTTCTATAATGTGTCATAATGTCATATTTTCTTGTCTTTATTTTTCCTCTGTCTAATATCCATTTGAGCTACACCCTCCTCTCTCTCTTTTTTGGCTAGATGCAATATTTACAGTTTTAAGAGGAAAAGCAGCAGCCATAATTGCAGAGAAGGCTGGGTGGGAAGGAGCACCTTGTACCATTAACTGCATCCTAATCATCTGCTTCACAAACATAAACTGAACATAAGGGCCATGTTTGTGGGCTTCATGGTCCCTGAAAGGATACATCTATAAATGTGATAAGAAATGAAGCTACCTCCCCTTCCTAATGTTGCCGTTTCAATATTTCTGTTCTCAAACCTGTGACCAGGTTTCTGTTGTTGCTGTTTCCTATGGGTAGGAGAACTCCAGCTCATTTTGAATATTGTGTTTTACCAAAGCAAATTAGTAGAGCTGTGTGGGTTTTTCTGGGGATTTTTTTGTTTTAGAGGTTTTTTCCCCCCTAAGTGTTCCTCATGTTCCTGTAAGAGTTTCACTGGAATATCTCTTAAGGTGGTGAAAGGAAAATAATGCTGTCTATTTGTTCATTGGAATACTCAAATACTTCACAGCACAGTGACTGAGTGCTGGGGTGAAAAAAGATAGTAAGGGGAAAAAAGATGATTCTGTTTGGCCATGAAGTGGCTCAAATTTTCTTTCACCAATCTCAAATTCCTTTTCCAAAGTATGCCATTGATGTGTAGTGCCACTGAATTTTTAGCCAGTTAGGATCATCACTAGCTTTTTAATCATTCACTCACCATTAGGAAGGTTTTGGTCTTCCTAATAGAGTCAGAACGAGATCACCCCTTGCTATTTTCCTTTAACTTGCCCCATAATTAAACCCACCTTTTTTGGAATCTGAGGTCCCTGCTATTTTTATCAGTTTCACTAGAGACATTAAGTCCAATCTGAGGAGAGTTGGGGGGAGGTTTCAAAAATGCATTGTTTTAAATTTTCTTATTTTTATGTTTGCAAATATCAATATTTTTTTTTGTCAATTTCAATCTGTATCAAATAGTATTGATTTTTATGATCCGTGTGAAACTCATACTGCAATAAGATACTAAGTAATAAATCTACGAGAGATTTTTTCATTCACTGTCAGGTCCTATAAGTGTACATGTCTAAGTAGAAGAGTAGCTTAACTTTTGATTTAGACGCACAATGTCTAGTATTGTGCTAAATCAGATGTCCATTGGTTTTTGTGTTAAGACAATTGGTCCCTTAACCTCAATTTATAACTAGATTGCAATATTCTTGGGTAGAGCTGCACATATCTACCCTCTCTCCTTCTTATTGAATCTGGGCAGAAGGCACAAAATCAGCTGGAACTTTCAGCATATGATGATGTTTGCAGGTAAAATTTTGGTGACCCCATATTTCTGTTTTGCATAAACATATTTTCTTCTTCTATAAAATCCTCCCTTTGCCTTTTATAAAAAGCCCTTCTCTCCAAAAGTATATATGATAATAGTGCCATGGACATTTACTTAGCTGTAATTATACAGTTTTATCTCTTTCTTCAGCTTCACAGTTATTTACAAAGCATCTGATAGAAATTTAGATTTCTAGGAGCCAGGTAACACTTGCAAAATTAAGACGAGTACTGTTCAAATGTTTTATTTGTGAAATTTCAAAAGTAAAAGGAAAAATTGAATTTAAAAATTTGCTCTTTTCATTCCTAAAGGAATGTTTATTCTCATAATGGCAGGGCAAATGCTCTCATAAATATGGCTGCCCTGAAAAATAGTTTAGATGTAAAGACAAAGTCTGAAGTAAACCAGATATTTTACTAATAGGGTAGTTTTCTCTACTTTCTCACTTTTCATGCAAGTACATTTCTAGTATTTCCTTCTTTAGCAAAGAAAGCATGCAGTATTTTTTTTTAAACCTACAAATGGGGCTGTGACTGCTGCCTGGCTAGGCCTTACAGTTGAACTTCTGCAACCTAGTGGGATATATGTTTGCTTATAAGCATATGATTACCCAGAATACTCTTCCATTTCATAACTGTTTCATAGTAACATTGCTGTCTGAACTGTGAGAATAAACTGAAAGGTTTGCATGCTCTTCTGAATGCAGGGACATTCTTGATTTCCAACTTTCTCTTTCTCTTTCTTGATTCAGTTGACAACCAGTATCTTTCACATTTCCCTCCCCTCCCCTGGAAGTTTTGGTCCCTACTGTCCTTTCAATAAGTAAAAATCAGAGCTGATTCTTAAAAAAGAAAAAAACAAAAACATCAGGGGAGTATAAAAGAGTAGAGCTCTCTGTACTTGTTATTGCTACCTGAGTCTTCAGGGCTTAGGTTTGTGGTTCTTAATTGTAGTATAAGTTTAAATAAATAATTAATTAGTGATAGCTGTAATTAAGCCTGCTGACTATAATATCTAAGGAACTATGGTCACTTGAGCACAGGTGGATCCCAGCACACGCTGACTGTTTCTGCTATGTCTGCCTGTATGATGCAAGTGTCAATGGTGGGTAGATTTGATACAGGGCTATCCAATACAAACCTTGACCATCTTCAGTGGTCAAATCAGACTGTTTTTTTTCTTTGCATTTGTGTATTTAAAAACCTCAAAGGAAAGTGAAAGAAAGTGGTGTGAAGGCTGTTGCTTGTACTCACAAAGTTTACTTCATTCATTCCTTTCTTTCTCTGCAGGTCTTAGGGGAGCCATGGCATTTGCTCTGGCCATACGAGATACTGCTACTTACTCCCATCAAATGATGTTCTCAACAACTCTTCTTATCGTCTTTTTCACTGTTTGGGTTATTGGTGGAGGCACAACACCCATGCTCTCTTGGCTTAACATTAGGTCAGTACAGTCTTAAAACTGGGGAATTTTATCACCTTCAAATAGATTCCATGCTATTTGGGCATGGGGTGAAACAGTGGTGTCTAATCTCTGCTGACCCATGGACAACACTACTGGACAAATTAAGTGCTGTGGGGAAACTTCATGTTTTGCTCGTCTTAAAGTGTATATGTGGAAAAACAAAATTTGCTGTGATGATGAACAATGTCTGCTGCTTTAAACAACAGGTTGAGGGCTCCTGTCCTAAAACAACTTGCCTGGTGCTTATTAGCAGTTTCTGCATTGTAGGGTGTTTATATATAATAAAGTTGGGAAGGTAGTTGAATGAGGAGGAGTATGGAGGAGATTACTCTGGTACAACCTAAAGGCTGATATTCTATGAATGAATAATACAGTCAGAGCACTAATTAACCTAATGTAAGTTATATTCATTGACATAAATGAGTTGCTTGTATCCTGCATAAAGAAAATGGGGTCTCAGTACCCAGTTTCTGTATCTGATGAACTAACATCTCCACAATTATCACCTGGAAGTGTTCTTGATCTGTTATCTGAGGAAGAGTTTTGCAACATTGCCAGCCTCTGTGAAATTTCTCTAGTTTCTGAAAGTGGCTCTTCAGTCATGTCCACCCCTCTGATCCATATAATAACGTAGGTAGGACACAATCTTGTGGGTCCTGATTTTTCATGTCAATCTGCAGTTTACATAATCTCTATCCTCCACAATGAAGCCATTAAAGACTCAATAAAGCAGTCTTTCCTAGTACGTTCAGCAGTCACCTGCCCAAAGAATATGGCTTGGAGCTGAGATGCATTCTTTATCTTCGTCAACAGAGGGACTGTTAAGTCAGCTGTTTGCAGAACTGACTTTTCCATCTGCCAGATTCTGAGCCTTGGTGTTGCTCCAGGAGAGATGGAGAGTGAGTGAGGAGCTTTTGTCTCAAAGCAGTCAACTGTAGATTTCAGATGGCTGGCTGATTTCCTGAGGAGAGTCTGCATAGTCAAGGTCATAGTGTCAGTAGCACTTCCTGAGCTACGTGCCGATCACTCTAAGAGGAGGGCAGTATGTAAGGGTGATTTGGATTCCTGGCATAATATCTAATATCCATAGAGCAGGCACAGTGTTTATGGTTGATAAACATTAGTGAAACTGGATTGCTCTAGGCAGCATTTATGAAACAGCAGCAGCTGAATTCCAGCAAGAAGAATACACTTGTTGGTGGGGAGGGAGTTTGAGAAGACTCCCAGAAACTGACAATAATGCGATTGGCTGTTAACTGCTGCAGTCTGAATGTTGACCTTTACTTTTGCAAAGCAGTGTACTGCTTCCTGCTTCCTATTGGCTGGGACTTTGTCAAACTCCCAGATTTTTTTAAACAACCCATGGAGGGGTGCAATGGTGGCCAGTTCAGTAGTGCACCTTAACAGCTCTGCTGATATAAAGTTGCATCTGGCCGCTCAATTGAACCTCAGCCTTCGTATGAGAAAGCACAGTCAGGTCCCCTATTGCAGTCTAAAACCTTGAGGTCCAGGAAGATGACTGCTGGAAGGTTCCAAGTGTAGACTGAATACTACACATCTATCTCCTGCAGTGCTGCTTTTTAATGGGGCAGAAAGTACCATCTGCCTTATGCATCTAAATGTAGCTGTTGCTAGAGGCTGGCCCATACATCTGTTGTCAGGCTCTGTAAGCCAGACAAAGATTGTTATGAACCACTATTGCTTCAGCCTGATTAGACCACCTTGCTCAGAAGGTGGCTGAAGGGTAAATGCCAAACAGCAGGCCAGACTTTGACCACTATTTTTATTAGAATTTGATGTGGGACAACTGCAAATAATGCCAATATTGTCAGCCTATCAATATGTTCTATGGCTGAGGATGGAGTGCACCTCTGGTTGGAGTGAGGAACTTTTATTGGTAGTTTAGCCTGGAAAATTAAATGCAGTTTGAATATTTCTGTAGGGATCTCAGGGGAACATTGTTCCTCTGGTGAGACTACTCTGTTGATGATTTTGTAGGACATCATAGTTTGACACTTTTCAGCTGTTGATCAGTGGATGACACCATGTCATTTTCATAGGCTATTTATGTAAAGATCACTCCCAAAAATCAGTTATTCGGGTAGTGAGACAGAACACCTGGTAACACTGAACAGGGCTGTGATACCTCCTTTAGAATAGCTTTGAGAAAACAACTGTAGTATCAAAGCAGGAGAGTTTTGATATGTGCTTGAGCTATGTTTTTGGAGTTAGGAAAAACATGCCTGCCAATAAGTAATGGTTCATTTTTATTTCTGTTTGGCTTCTCCCTTCTAAATTAATCTTGTTTAAAAATGGCTCTATATAAGAAGTATTAGCAGAGGATATAGGTGTGTTCACAGTGTGGTTATTGGGTAGTACAGGAGTCTGGTTACCACTGCACAGTATTCATTGGGACTGCAGGCTGTCTTCCCAGAAGCCACATGAAATTAAAAGCTACTTATACCAGGAGGTGGCAGCCATGGGCAACTGATGAAGAACTAGGAACCAACTCCAATAAATACTTATTTGTCATGATACAGTCCCAGCCACTAAAAAGCATCCCAGCTGTGACTAAAACAGATTTGATCTTCCTAGTGGAGGTTAGAAGCAGGAAACATGTTAGTCTCTCATCCTTTGAGGCCTGGGGAGTAAGGCACTAGAAGATGCAGAACAAAAACAAAGCCAAAGGAAATGTCTTAACTCCCAACAAGAAGCACCAGCCTAAAATGTAGGGTTCAGCTAAGGAGTTCAGGGTTCTGGTACTATTTACCAATACAGATGGTACCTGAGGATGAGATTGCTGGGAAATGCAGTACAAGAAACTGAAAGGCAAAGAGTGGCTTTTTGTTTTTTGTGCAAGATGTTCTAAGATCCCAGCAGTCTTTGCTGCCACGTGCAGGGGGGCTGGACACAATGATCTGTAAAGTCCCTTCCAGCCCCAAATGTCTATGAAACAGGATTGGGAGCTTTTCTTTTACTAGATTAAGTGAGAAAGAGAGTGGCATCTAGGTGCAGTCCATGAGCTTCACGTAATGTCCACAGTTGTAGACTGTATGTGCTTGTATGTGTGTAGACTGTAAAGTTTCAGAGTGGCTTTCCCCTAATCCCGTTACATTCAATTACTTATTCTTAGCATTTCACATCTTCATTAATGAGCCTCCTGGGAAAGATTACTTAACATCCTTTTGTTCTCTCCCTTTGCACACTGATTTAACATCATCTACCTCATGAAGGTTATGTCTTTCCTTCAGAGTTAGTCTGGATGATTGATTGCTATGTGGTTTACCTTATCCTGCAAGGAGCCACATGGCTGAGCTGCACACAAGATACTGTGTCATTGCTGTGCTGTGTCCTCTCCCCTGTGTCTAGTTAGGATTTCTGCAGGTACCTCCCATCCTTCTCTGTGCCTCAATAAGGTGAGCTCAAGCTGTCCAATTCTTTCTCAGTGAACTGTGAGAGAGCTTGTCTATTATTCTGGGTGCCTGAGGGGACTCTTGTGGGCAGGCACAGAAGGACTCAACAGAGTGATATCTAGCTTTAATCTATGGGCAAGCTTGAGTGAAAATAGTACTGGCAGAACCAGGCCAACCATTCTGGCATTAAAGCATCACCCAGGCTAGCAAGAGAGAGTTTGTGTGCATGGGATGGTGCTGGAGACGGCACTCAGGAAAGGCCCATATCAGCTTTGCAGTGAAGACTTGTTTGGAGGAGCCAAAAACTTATTTAATGCCACTGATCTAATGCTGATGATTCATAAATGATGGCAGGTGGGATTAATGTTTGGCACTTTCTGGCTTCCAATTCTAACAGTGGGGCCTCTCTACTTATGTGAAGATTTTAAAACCTTTTCCTTTATTTCATGCATGAAATTAAGGTTAAGGGTCAGGTAGGAAGCAATTAAAACAGGGAGACCTGAGGTTTTACGTTACTACTTCTCTAAATCACTAGAGTTCACTGCTACCATGCTAAAAGAGCAGGTGTGTTTGGAACATGATACATTACAAATGTCCAGTGGGTAGACTTAATATTCACACTATGTGTACTTCAGTCACCTTGACTCTTAACTCTGATTTAATTATCAATCCATTAAAATGCCAGTTTGTACAAGAGATGACAGGAATCCAATTAACATGAATAACATTCTTCCATGCTTGAACTGTATCTCTTTTAGATTCAGCTATTGGAGACTAAACAAGCCAAGTTTTAGCAACAGCTGTTTTTTTTCCTTATAAAGTCAGATGTTTGACTTTCTTGGATCTCATACAAGTATTTGGAAAATTATATTAAGTGTATGGATGGTAAACAGTTCGTGTTGTAGGAGTATGTTTTCTTTTGCTTGGAAAATACAGTATTTAAAAAAAAAATGTAAAAGCCCAATCTGCTCCCATGCAGTGATTAAAGCCAAGAAACATTTTCTTAGCAACTTCAAAGAGCCAGAGGAATCTGACAAACAATAAATGAAAAACATTGGCAGCGTTCCTCTTTAAAACGTGGCTGACTTCAAAATTTCACTGTACTTCTGAGAGAAGAATGGAACTCTTGTATTTATAGTGCAAAATAATGGTCTGCCACTTTTCATTAGGAATATATGACCAGTATATACTATTTCCTTATTTCAGTAAAGGAATGAATGAAACCAGCTGCAAACTACCATCTTCTGTTATGTTCAGGACTTGTTTTAAACTAAGGTGGCAGGAAT